CCAGCGGCGCTGCCTCATGTTGAGCTCCTTCTGCGTGAAGATGTACTGCAGGCTCTTATGATCAGTGAAAATCTCGCAACGACCGCCGTAAAGATAATGTCGCCAAATCTTAAGAGCATGAACAACAGCGGCAAGCTCCAAATCGTGCGTCGGGTAGTTCTGTTCATGGGGTTTGAGCTGGCGTGAAGCATAAGTGACGACCTGGCCATCCTGCATAAGGACACATCCCAAACCCTGCCTCGAAGCATCACTAAAGATGGTGAAACTCCGGGAAGGATCGGGAATAGTCAACACCGGTGCTGAAGTCAATCTCCTCTTGAGCTCCTGAAAGCTCGCTTCACAACGATCAGTCCACTCGAACTCCACAGACTTCCTCGTCAGCTGGCATAAAGGAAAAGCAATCTTGGAAAAGCCCTCAATGAATCTGCGGTAATAACCAGCCAAGCCGAGAAAACTGCGAACCTTGGACGGACTCTTCGGTGTCGACCAGTTCTGAACGGCTACCACCTTAGAAGGATCGACCTCAATACCTGCCTGCATAATCACATGACCAAGAAAAGCTACTCGTCGAAGCCAGAATTCGCACTTGGAGAATTTTGCATACAACTTTTCTCGTCTAAGGGTCTCAAGAACAACCCTAAGATGCTCCTCATGTTCCTTCTGGCTCTTTGAGTAGATAAGGATATCATCAATGAAAACAATGAAAAACTGATCTAGATAGGGATGGAAAATACGGTTCATCAGATCCATGAATACTGCAGGGGCATTGCTGAGGCCGAATGGCATGACAATGAACTCATAGTGACCGTAACGAGTACGGAAAGCAGTCTTGGGAATGTCTGATTCCTTAATATTCAGCTGGTGGTAGCCGGATCTCAAATTGATCTTAGAGAAAACACAAGCTCCCCTCAGCTGATCAAATAAATCGTCAATCCTGGGAAGCGGGTACTTATTCTTGATCGTCAACCAGTTCAGATCCCGGTAGTCGATACACATGCGCATGGATCCGTCCTTCTTCTTGACAAAGAGAACGGGTGCTCCCCAAGGTGAAACGCTCGGTCGAATGAAACCGAGTCCTAATAACTCCTGAATTTGTGCCTTAAGCTCCTGCAACTCCTTCGGTGCCATACGGTAGGGTGCTTTAGAAATTGGACCGGCCCCTGGGATAAGATCAATGGAGAACTCCACCTGCCGGTTAGGCGGTCCTCCTGGAAGCTCGTCCGGAAACACGTCCACAAACTCCCGAACAATAGGGACATCATGAGGTGAGCGTGCCTTCGGAGAATCATCAACAAGGCTGACGAGATAACCCTGACAGTTACCTCGTCGCAACATCTTTCTGGCTTTCGCCATCGAAATGACATGGGGCAAGGAACGAGTCTTAGTGCCGAAGAAAGTGATCTGATCATCTCCCGGAAGAAAAAGAGTGATCTCCCGGTCGTGACATCGGATATCTGCATAAAAACGCGTTAGCCAATCCATGCCGAGTATGAGGTCAAAATCCCTCATCTCGAGAACATACGCATCGGTAGACAATATACGACCACCGATGGAGAGACTGAGATCTGTGGCTCTGGCTGAAGTCACTATCTTTCGTCCCGAGGCTAAACTCACCTCGAGAGGATCGACAGCGGTACTGACATGAACTCCAATGGCATCGAGACATCGTCGTAATATAAAAGTATGAGTTGCTCCCGTATCAAATAAGGCAAAGACAGGATTGTCATTAATCATAAGCATCCCAGACATAGTACCTGGGTGCTGTTCTGCCTCTGCCTGATCAACCGCATAAACTTGGGCCTGCTGCCTGCCCCTCTGCTGCTGCTGTGGTGGTCTCTGGGCCTGCTGTCGAGGCTGCTGCTGCTGCTGTGGCTGCTGCTGGAGTTTCTTCGGACAGCGACTAGCGAAATGTCCGGGCTCGTGGCAATAGTAACAAATATCCTGGCCCATGTGACACTCGCCGCGATGAAGTCGTCCGCAAGTGGGGCACTGTGGAATCTGCTGCGGCCTCTGTCGGGTCCTCCTGTCCGTCTGGGCACCTTTCCTCTTCCTCTTGTTGTTCTTTGGTGGCTGGGCAACAGTCGGTGGAACTGTGGATGACTGGGCAGGGGCAACTGGCTGTAATCGATCATGGTTCGCCTCCCTTCGAATGCTGGCATCCACCTCCTGGGCAATGGCAACGGTACGAGCGTAGGTCTTGACTCCGTGACCTACAATATTATGACGGACTGCTAGGAAAAGCCCGTCAGTGAAACGTTGTGCTCGCTGCGCCTCAGTACACACCAAATCCAGAACAAAAGCTCCGAGTCTGGTAATCTCTCTCTCGTACTCGTCAACAGTACGAGTACCCTGTTTGAGCGACAGAAACTGCCGCTCCATCTCAGCTCGGTAGTACGTGGGATAGTACTTCTCTCGAATCATCTCCTTGAATCTCTCCCAGGTACAACCTTCTTTCTCGCCAGGACGCATACTCCAGTAGGCATTCCACCAGAGTCGGGCGTCGTCGATCAACTGAAGCTGTGCGCAAGTAAAGCGATAGCGATCTGGACAGTCCATGACCTTAAAAATCAATTCGAGGCCCTGAATCCACTCGTCTAAAATACGCGGATCTCCCTGGCCGGAGAACTTCTCAGGGTGGTAGTCGCGGAACAGTGCGACCACTGTGGCCTGGGGGACCGCTGGCTGTTCGGGTTCTCTACGGGGCGGCATCTGAATATTAAAAAGATTCAACATGATTAAAATTCAATGAAATACCTTAACTGATTACTAAAGCACACAAATCTCTTGACGAGTTGCTAAACATGACTGGGAAATACTGACTGATATACTGATTACTGATCCTGAACATGATTCGAGCATCTTAACTAATTTATAACTGAAAATTTCTGAGCATAGAAATAGTACTTGTTTATAATTTGAAAACATGAATCAGCACTTACCTGTAGTCGGCGAGGAGTGAGCGTGACGGTTCAGGTTTTTCAAAACTTTCTGACTCGTAAATTTTTCAGAGACGCAGAAACATGCTCTGATACCAACTGTAACACCCCGCCTTATCGTGAAATCAGAGTGCGTAATTTCGCGCAGTCTTTTAAAATAAAATTTTTTAATTTGCGAAAACTGATTTGGGGTGCTACTGTAAAAACATGTCTTATTCTGAAAAACCGTTATTTTAGTCTTTAGCAAAAATCTACGGTTTACTGAAAGTATTAAATATCTAAAAGTCCGATCAAAAGATAAGTTCGTCAAAACTTCATAATCAGCGGAAACGTAGCATCATCAAAATATTTTCAATCACATGAGCAAAAGTCCTGAATCATCCGTCATCTCACACCTCCGGCCCGACATCCTGACCTGAAAAACATGATAAAAGTGGGTCGTGAGCACTAAAATACACTGTGCTCCGTGGAAACTCGTACTAAAGTAAACATCGAAAATAATTACAATAACATGATCTTGGCATGAACATGAACATGAAATCGGTACTGAATAATCATGATCTGATACTGATGGTGAGATAACATCATCACCTGCCTGATACCTGAACATCTGCCAGCATAAATGCCGGACACCATGTGCACACTCTAGTGGGCAGATTAAGGCCACTAGAACCCAGAATGGACCGGTGACCATTCCGAGCGGATACTGAACTGATAATACATACCTCAAACATGGTAGAATAATTATAATCAATGTAATACCCAGTCTGAGTCCCCACCTGAACTGTCTGAATAAAATGGTAGTGCTGATATCGGATCCTGGTCAAACTAAAAATAATATAAACAATTACTAAATACTATGCTCAGCCTGATAAAATAATTATTTTATTATGTTAAGATGCTCTACTGGACTTGAGGTGATGTTTGGATTTAACCGGTATCATCGGAACCGAATAAATTGGAACTGAACTGACATGAAATTACTGAACTGAACTGGACCCGAAATTTAATTGAAAATGGAACTTAAAATATGAACTGGGATTAAAATAATATTACTTGGGTCAAATAGGTATCAACCGGTCTGAACCGGTCTGGCCGGACCGCCGGTCTGTTCGGACCGGTCGGTCGGCGGCTGACTCGGCCCATGCCTTGCTGTGGCTATGGGCGCGGCTGCTGGTGCGACTAGGTGTTGGCATGGCCGCTACCGGGCCTGCCCTGGCCACGGCCGAGGGTGCTGTATGCACTTGGCCACGGCGGTCGTGAGTTAGGCCCATCGGGGCACGGTTCTTGGCACTGCCGTACGCTACGTGCGTCGGCTGTCACTTGACTGGGCACCGTTCGGATGCTGCCATGCACCGCGACGTGCTGCTGAGGACTGACGAGTGCGCACCACGGCACTGGACAACATGACTGACACGATGCTGGGTGCTGCCATGCGACCCCTACCTTGCTGGCCACTCGGGGCGGCGCTGCCGAGGCCATTGATGCATGACACTACGTGCTGGCGTGTGTTTTCGCACGCTGGCGTGCATGGCTGTGCGTTAGTGTGCGTACGCGCACCACCAACGGCTGTATGTTGCGGGTACTGATCGCACAGGGCATTAGACCGCGCATCCCGCACACCCGCCGGTACGCTGCGACCGCGACGTGCGGACAGCGTGAGTACGGCCGACCCTCGTCGGCCGTCCGGCGATTTTCTCCGGCCAACTCAACATGAAATTTAATAATATATCAAGATTTCAATTAACATGAATAATTACACTTAAATTGCCCAATAATCAGATCTAACGTGATCCTTAACATGAGTGTGGCCGCGGACACGCGCACCATGCGCGGTCTTTGGCTTTAAGCCAAAATCTCGACCAAACACAAAATTTCTTCGACCAACATGAATCAACTAAGCATAAAATGATCTAAAATGATCAATTAGGCAAGAATTGCACGGAAGTTGCCGGATAGAAATAGATTTAACTCGGTCATGGCCTAAGTGGCCTAAACTGAATGTACCATGGCCTATTCATGAATTTTTCAAGACATGAGTTGAACAATTATCCTGACATGAACTCATTTACATGAAAAAGAATGGAGGATGAGGTTACCTCCTCAATCGGTCGGCTGAAATCGGAAAATAAGGCGTGATTCTTGGCTCCGTGTCCGTGTGCGTACGTGTGTGATCTTAATTACGAGTGATTATAGTTAATTTAGCTTAGTGCTTGCTGAACTTTGTAGCTTAAATAATGAGCAACAAATCCCTTCCAAATACTGATATATAGGCACGGTAAAAGTTAGGAAAATTTGGTGAAAAACTCGGCCAATGGGCGCATGCCAAGTGTCGTGTGCCTAATGCACAAGCGTGGCACTTAGGATGCTTACTCACCTCTCCAATTGCTTAGTCATTGTGTCCAGCTCTCTGAGGCCTCCGTGTGGCTTTAGCAATGATGACATTGCACGTGAATTATTTGGAAAGCCAAACTCCCGGCTATTAGGCGCGCTAAGCGCGGCTTAGGCGCTAAGCGTGCGCTTATGCCCGATAATGCGGAGTTATGCGGGCGATCAGCATTAGTGCGCTAATGCCATGCTTACGGGCACAATGACATACTTACTTGACTTAGGACGTGATTCATGATTAATTAACTTATCATTAGCACGCGAACGGTGAAATTAAGCCCGGTAAAATAATTTATCGAGTGATTAGGCATGAATTAATTACCAGAAATTATTCCGGACATGAGCATGATATTCGAAAATTAATTCGAACATTATTAACTGAATTAAATAGTTCCGAACGATAACGAATGATAACAGAAATATTTCGGAACTAAACATGTCATTATTTTATTAACATGACGGGATATTACAGGAAGGGCATTGATGACTGCCTTAATTAGGACATCTTTCCCAGCTATGGATATCATCTTGTTCTTCCAACTCCAAAGTTTTAGCCTTTACAGAATCAATGACATAGGAGAAGACTTCTGCTTTTGACTTGCCTATCCCCATGGAAGGCCAAGATATCTGGTAGATGCATGATGCTGAACTCCACCCATAGAGGCACAAACAAGATTCTGAGCTGTGGTAGTAGTGTTCTTACTGAAAATGCAGCTGATTTCTGGATGTTCACCTTTTGTCTTGTAAAAAGTCTGTATTTGTCCAACAGATTCATCAACTCTTGTGCTTGACCAACTTCAGCTTTGCAAAAAAATAGTGCATCATCTGCAAAGAGTAAATGTGACAGCACAGGGCCATTTCTTGAAACTCTGATCCCAGACAAAGCACCCCTACTTAAGGATTCTGAAATAAGAGCAGTCAGCAACCCTGTGACAATAATAAAGATGTAGGAGGATAAGGGATCTTTCTGTCTTATGCCTCTAGTGGGATAGATGACACCAGTCAGAGAGCCATTCACATTGAAAGATAGAGAGGATGAAGATATGCAAACCATAAGTAATTTGACAACATCCATGATGAATCCCATCTTTATCATGATTTGTTCAATGCATTTCCACTCAACTCTATCAAAAGCCTTAATGAGATCTAGCTTTAAGGCCATAAAGAAATTCTTCCCAGATCTATGTCTATTGAGAAAATGGAAAACCTCTTGGGCCAAAATAACATTGTCAAGTAATTGTCTGTCTTGGATAAAAGCTGAATGACAAGTACTGATGCAAGAGAAAAGACAATTTTTCAGTCTCAAGGCCAGCAGTTTAGACAAGACTTTGTAAACCACTGTGCATAGAGATATGGGTCTAAACTGGTTCATAGAAGATGGAGAGTTGCATTTTGGGATTAGAGAGATTATAGTGTGGTTCCAGTACTTCAGAAACATACCAGTATTGAAAATTCTTTGAATGGTTTCAATAAGATCCCCATGAATCAAGGTCTAGAAGTGTTGGTAGAAGAAAGCTGTCATGCCATCCTCTCCAGGTGATTTGTCAGGGTGCAGATTATAGAGGGCATCCTTTATCTCCTTCTTATCAAAGGGTTAGAGCAGTTGGAGATTCATTTAAGGGGTTATGCTTTGAGGAATAAGATGCAGCAGTGAGTTCCCTCCCAAAGAGCCTTCAGAGGTAAACAGAGAGGAGAGTAGTAATTTGTGATGTGATCTTCAATGTCCCTTCTTGAAGTGAAAACCCTATTAGAATCTGTGGTCAGCCTGGTTATAGCATTCAATCTTCTTCTGGACATTGTGTAGGCATGAAAGAATTTGGAGTTTGTGTCACCCTCCTTCAACCACTGAAGTCTAGTCTTCTGAGCCCAAAATTTTTCCTCAAAAGCATAGGCTTCATTGAGTTCATTTTTGACTGAGTCCCATTCTTCCCATTTATCTGTTCTGCTATCAAGTCTGAGATCTTCCAATTGGGCAGATAGTTTGGCAATTTTGATCTGGTTCTGGGATTTGAATTTGGAACTCCAAATAAGGAGTGCCATTCTTGTCTGCTTCACTTTTTCTTTGAGTTTGTAGAAAGGGGTTCCTGATTGTGGGATGGTCCATGCAGCCTGCACCGCCTCCTCAATTCCTTCCTTTGCTTCCCACCTCCTATCAAATACAAATCTCTTCTTTTGTCTGGTAACATGCTCCCAGAAGAGATAATCAGTAGAGAGTGATCTGAAGCTGTTATAATCACATTAAGAACCTTTGCATGAGGGTGAGCGCTCAGCCATTAATAGGATGCAAAGGCCCTTCTAGCTTCTCCTCAACATATCCTTCAGAGTCCCTATTATTTCCCCATGTAAGTTGGTGACCCTCCATGCTTATCTCTTCCATTTCCATGT